GGTTTATGGTTTGGTTGGTTGAGGGGAAGTGGTTGAGTGCCTGCCCTTGGTAGGTTGAGTGCCTGCCCCTCTAATGCTGCTGCTGCAAGGGATTCCGTTAAAGGAATTGGGGGCTAACTATTGCTTGTCCACTCTGTCAAGGGGGCTCGGGCCATAGCAATGAGCTCCTGGTTGCATTTGGGGTGAGGGCAGGTTCCCTGCTCCGTGTAACCCCCAAGTGTATTCCCCTATTCTGACTTTCGCATTGTGCGGAATGTCAGTCTGTCCCCCATGGTGGGGGCAGATAGTTGCAACCAATGCCTAAGCAACCACTCACAAATTTGTATTTCAATAAAGTTGTGGCCAAAATTATGCCAAAAATCTTAAACAAAAAATTCTGTGTGATGTGTGAGTTTTTGGGGTGGCCCTGGGGACCTCGACACGCAACTACCATTAGCTCTGCACTATTATAAATGTACATTTTATTTCTATTTAGGATGCTTAGGTCCCATCCTTCAGCCTCAAAATGATCTCAGGACAGATCACAACAATAAAAATACATCCTAATACAAAAACCAGCAATTATTGAAGCAGAAATATTATACAAATCATTCATTATACAGATTTCTCCATCTGCCCCACCCCTTCAGCACGGAAATAGAGAAAAACCAAAATGGAGAGATTCACCCATCCCTACACTGCAGCCAAACTGGAGAAACTGGGATATCTTCAGTGAAAGCTGTTGTGGGCTTCTCTCAGCCTCCAAGAGCACTTGTTTAGATGCTGGTACGTTTCCTCCCAGCATAGTGAATTCCTGCCACCAGAAGCCCTAGGAAATACAACTCCCAATATGTTTAATCTAGGCTGATTAAGATGGAACTCCATTTCTCAGGTCCTTTGTAGCAGTGGATTCCCTACAGAGGCAATCTTAAGCATTCTAGGAAGAGATTACCAGTATCTACAACTGAGGAGCTCAGGTGTACTACCTGTGGGCACTGTAGTGTGTTTGGATATCTCTACTTGTTGCCTGCAAAGGCCTAGTGCCAGTTAAAAAAAATACGAATAGAGGACTTTGGCTTTTCTGATGTTTTGGGGAGGGTCTCTGTGTTGCCTATTTTAAAGCTGTATTGCCCATTTCTTAATCTGTTTTATTTGTTTTTAGTGTGTATGTGAACTTTTTCTCTTGTGGTGGGGAGGGGTTGATTCTGAGTACTGCTGGGTTTTCTTAAGCGAAATTGTTATTTTGTAGTGTCCACAACAATTAGGTTTCCAAAAAGGCTACATATCCCTGGTCTAGGATAATCTAGGATCATGGTGAAAACCTATGCCAGCCTCTCTGATGACAGCCATTCTTCCCTTTATCAAGGGGAGTGCTAAGAGGAAGCTTCCTCAAGTTTAGTGGTCTTTGCAAGACAAATAATTATGAATACCATTGGTTGTTTCCTTAACCATCTGAGAGCAAAAAAAGAAAAGAAAAACCAATTCTGAGCTGTGTCAAAGGAGCCATGTTTGTAATTAAAACACCCACACATTTATGTTGCATGAAGACATTGCATGAAGATCTACTTCAATGTGCTGATGCTATTTATCAGTGAAAGCTTTTAACAGCTTCAATGTATTTACAAACTGTGTTACAAAACATTGATCAACTACTCAATATTAATTCTTTTATTGAATTTTTAGCAACCGCAGGAAAAATAATCTATTGTACTCTACACTTAATAGAAAAATAGCTCCTTTGGGGGCTTTTGAATCCTCCAGAAGTCTTCATAAACACACCAGCTTCCAATTGTTCTCAATTCATCAAACTGAGCTCATAAAATTACCTTTCTATTTCATTAGTTTTAAAGATTTTTATCAGTTTGCTTGTAAGAGGGAGTGAGCTGCCAGACTTCTAAGATCATTGATAGAAATCTAAAATACTGTTGTGGTTTGTAGCAGTCATTTAAGGTAAAATGGTTCTTTCTTTAAGCTGCACAACCAAAAAGATATTTTGCATCATTTATTTTTCTGTAAAGAAGTGCCAAATTTTGAAGCCAGTGTGTGGTATGGAATATATCTGTCACCAAGGGCTGTCTCATCTGCTTCCATTGGAACCCGAGAGGGATGTCGTTTAATTAAAAAAGGAGGGGACAGAGCTTTCAGAAGAGTATTGCAGTGGCATTTCACACAAAGGTGATCCATATACACATGGTGCTTGTATGACGTTAGTTTGCAATACACAGTGCTCAGTTATGTAAATATCAGGAATTCTGCATGCCCAACAAGACTTTGGAGTATGTTTGCTTTGAGCAGCCCTTCATATATCACCCCAGATTTCAAACTCAAGAGCAGTTGACAATGTATTGAGTGGGAAGGTATGTTATTAAAAATGCCTTTTTAAACGAAACAAAAACCCCAAACAGATCTTGTTTGTGGCAATTTCTAGTGACTATCACAGTTCCAGCCTTCCAAATCACAGTCCTACACCAGTGGATTGCATGTAAATAAATATATACTAGCTTTCTAGAGGTGGGTGTTTAAATTTGGAGCTTTTCTTTGGGGATTCTCTCCGTTGTACAGTTTTAACTGCTACAACATTATAGTAGATTACTACTACAACAACATTGTGGTTTCTGACCTGAATGAGTTAAAATATGAACCTCTGGAGTTTTCTACAGTAGTCATCCAACAGCCCCAATCTGTTAAGCCATTTTGAAAAATAATGCTTTAATTGTGTTAAATAGGTGTTAATAGTTTCCATGTGGAAAATCTCTTTGTGAAAGATCTCATTTGCTTGGAAGTTATACCTTTGGGGCTTTTTTCACCCTTAGAAGTCTCTTTTTCTAAGTGTAATTATGACTGAAGCCAGCTGGTTTGAAAAGAACTTGCACCCTAAAGAGGTGGACAAAAATGCCACATTATAAGAAAATTAATGTAGGTGAGAAATCTTGTGTGGAAGGCCTCACAAAGAGTCCAGGTTAGTGATTTTATCAGTATCCCAAGAAGTTACCCTGAACTACAGTAAAACGTACAAGGACATCAGTTGTTAAGTTTAATATGCTTTTCAAGTCGCAACGTGACACATAAGATTGGATAGTCAGGTGTCTACAGTACCGCCTAGTGCCCATTGCGACAGGTAGTGCAGAAGGCAGGGAGACTATGGTCAGACTGATCCATAGCCACATACAGGAGCAGCCAACTAATTCGTGTTTTATCCCTTTGCTCCTGCCTGCTAAGTTCTAAGAGGGCAACCCTGAGATTATGGAGGAGGAAGCTGATAGGCAGTTCTACCCTTGGGCTGGAAGTAAACAGGAAGGTAGGCAGGTAGGGGCTGGCTGAGGGCAAATTGAAGTTGGTGGGGCCCTCAGCTAGCCCCCACCTGCCTCCACTGACTGCCTTTTTAGGTTACAAAAAAACCGACACGTTGGCAATAAAGACAACTTGGCAAATGGCATAGAAAGGCTGCCAATTTATAAAGTAACCAGTAATGTAAATAAATTAAGTATAGTAATAAGTTTTTGAACTTTACAGTAACTTTTTTGTTTTGGCAAGCCTTTCTGGTCATGTAACCATAGCATCAATTTTATTAAGTATAATTGTTTTAAAATTGCTAATTTTATTTATATTTTGAAAGAAAAATGTCAACTTACGTTTGCTTTTTGTTTTAAAATTTGTATTTTTGTCAGCCACTTATAGATTTTCTGTTGAGTAAGTGATATATAAATTTTGTTAAACAACACAAAATAAAAGAAAAGTGCGTAAGCAACTTATGAAACTCTGTCTTCCTCATAGATGCAAAAGATCCATCCTTTTGGAAAGAGTTTATAGACTATGGCTTGTCAAAACTCTCTTGGACCATGTGCTTTGAGGTAGTAGTCAGGGATGCATTTCATCTCACATTCTTTTAATCTCTTGTCTCTGATTCAGTTTTCAATAACCATATTGTAATTGAAGTTTTTAATGCAAATCTTATTTGGCAAATCTTCTTGGCTATGGCAGAAAGAGCAAAGTGTTTTTAATAAAATAAAATGAATTCAAAACCATACAAATAAAAGCCCATTCCATTTTCTCCTCAACGAAGCAGTTCTATCAAGAAAGAATAAGGCAGACACTAATTAAGCAGTTCACTGATTTCTGCATATGAAAACTTTTATTACAAATTGTTTATTGAAAATTGAATCACAGAAAAGCAATGGGAAGAATGTGAGCTGAAATGTCCCATATCTTTGAACTCACATCTAGTTAACAAACAGTTCTCCACCTACTGAGTTTGAAACTGCTCCTTGGCAACTTCTGTCTCTACAAGCAATTCAAGATGCAAATGTTCTGTGTAATTAGTTGAAATTTGCAAAGTAGTGTGTGTATGTAATACATAAGCTCTTGATCTTTCCCATCAAAGGAATATGTATAGAGTTTAATGCTGATTATTGGATGGGAAAGTGACTTCTAGCTAATAAAATATAAACCTCCATGGAATTTGAAGAAGGTAAAGATCTACTGTAATCCTAAACACATTAAAACAGATATATAGGAAGAGAAAATCAAGGTGTAGTAGCATATGGGGAATATATATCCATTTCATTTGGAGCTTACACAAGTGGAATTTAGGCATTGTGAGGGTTGAGAGGGAAAAGAAAAGCAGAATCAAAAGGCTAGCACACCTTTCCTTACAGAGAAGGCAGAGCTAATAATATTGGGGAGGGAACACAGAACTGATATACCTTGCAAGTTCTTAATTAATATGCTTCTTTGAAATATTGCTTGAAACCTCATCCCTTAAGTTTAATTTCATTTGGGTCACATGTCTAATGCAGAATTCTGCAGTGACTATCAGTTCAAGCACTCAGAAAAAGCATGTGGTACAGTTACTGTGCAATTATACCATCTTCATGTCTATGTGAAAAAAATATTTTTGATTTGTTTCCCTGTGCATAACATACTCCCTCCTCCCATTTACCCCCTAGATTGGCAACTGTGAAGTGGCTGGCTTAGCATTACATGCAAATCATCACCCGTGGTGTGTTTCTGTAACTCACACCTGACTGATAGCCCAGTGGGCAGAGCATGAAACTCTTGATCTCAGTGTCGTGGGTTTGAACCCCACATTTGGCAAAAAGATCCCTGCATTGCAGGAGGTTGGATTAGATGACCCTCTGGGTCCTATCCAGCACTGCCATTCCATGAAGCCACAAGTGGTAGTAGTAATCCAAGAACAAACCTTATCTTCAGCTTGTGGCTTATTTTGAGAGAAACCAATGTAAGAGGCAATATGCCTCTGTATTTCAGTTGCTGGGAATCACAAATGCAGAGAGTGATATTGTACTCTCGACTGTTTGCAAGCTTCTCAGAGCCATATGTGGTTGGTCACTGTGAGAACAGGATGCTGGATCAGGATCTCAGGATCAGGCAAGGCTTTCTTGGTGTTCTTATGTGTGCTGGTTTGCACATTTAACTTTCAGTCAGCTCCTCTGTGGTTTATTTCCTCACTCTAGAAAGGGAGGAGCAAGGTTGGGACTGCTTGTGCTACATGCACCATTACACAGCTCCTGCATAGGCTACTTTGACTAACTATGGCTTATGACCCAATGCTGTAAGCAACCACAGCCTCTTTATGGAAGGGCAGTGTATCGGAGAAATGGGCTACGCTGCCTGTTTCTCCAACCTGTTAATTATGCATTTGCAGGTACAGTGGTGCCCCGCAAGACGAATGCCTCGCAAGACGGAAAACCCGCTAGACGAAAGGGTTTTCCGTTTTGGAGGTGCTTCGCAAAACGAATTTCCTATGTGCTTGCTTCGCAAGACGAAAATGTCTTGCGAGTTCCTGCGGGGTTTTTTCCCTCCCCCCCCTTTTCCCAAGCCGCTAAACCGCTTATCAGCTGATGGCTAAGCCGCTTATCGGCTGATCTTTAAGCCGCTTAACAGCTGATGGCTAAGCCGCTTATCAGCTGATCTTTAAGCCGCTTAACAGCTGATGCTAAGCCGCTTATCAGCTGATCTTTAAGCCGCTTAACAGCTGATGCTAAGCCGCTTATCAGCTGATCGTTAAGCCGCTTATCAGCTGATCTTTAAGCCGGCTAAGCCGCTAATACTGTAGCGCCAAGCCGCTAAACCTCTAATGGGCTTGCTTCGCAAGACGAAAAGACCCGCAAGACGAAGAGACTCGCGGAACGGATTCTTTTCGTCTTGCGAGGCACCACTGTAATTTTTTTGGGGGGAGGGGTTTAACCTGTGTATAATATAAGCTGCACCGCTGTGAGAAACGTATCATGTGAACACTTGAATAAGCTCTCATTCCAGTTTGTGGTGGATTTGTTTGGGTCTAGCTGGGTAGTCTTTTGCTCTACATTCCCTCTGAAGGCAGATTAAAATATGAAACCCTGAAAGGTGAAACCACTGAAAAATGCTTCCATATGGCTGTTTCTCTTTATAGAGGTTGTGGCTTGTAGAACTGTTTAACACAGGGGTTCTCCACATTTTTCAGATTCTTCATGTAAGTACCATCTGCTTCCATAAACCTTGAGTTGGAGGAGTGGAGACTCTCTATGTACTGCAGAGAACCCATGTACTAAGCCGTGCTACATTTTACAACCATTTTGTGGGAAAGCTGCCATGCCGAAACATTTTGGTGGACTTTATATTGGGTCTATAAAATGAAGATCAGTACTCAGTTATAATCCAGAGTAGAACAGCAGTTCATCAAATGAACACATAAACCTGTTTTAAACAGAGAAGATGCCATTTGTAACATTCAGCAAGAGACCTTTCCCTTAATAAGAAATTGCAATGCATACTGAAAGCTGTAGACTGTCCACACAAAAACTAATTCTAAGAAAAGATAATGGATTTAGATACCTTTTATGTGTTATCAAGACAAAAACAAACAAGAGTGGGTTTAGATTTTTTAATGGCTTGGGGTTTTTTTTTAGATAACCACTGATTGCTTGGCAAATAGATTAAAGATGGAAATCCATTTTCAATCCTTCATATAACGAGATACAATCATTTTCTTCTTTGATATAGAAATTTACTTGGAAAGGAACTAGGTCCAAAATGATTATAACTCTTTGAATTTATATACTAAGAGAAACTAGAGAACTGTTCATGGCAAATAAGAAAAAAACTACTACCATTTAAAGACAAGCATACAGCTCTGTCCTTAGAGTTGCTTGAAATTTTACAAATAATTTCAAGTCAAGTTCACATTCAGCCTAGCATAAGCCCATGCAGTGACTTCAGGGGGGAAATGATAGGTGAGCAAGTAAACTGCCCATTGGTACTAAACTGCTGATAGCACATTTTCAATGGGAAGAAAATGCTTCACTGTATCACTTCCTCGATTCCAATTCTCTCCTGTGCCAGTACCCGATCCTTGAAGCAAGGACACTGATCATTGCAGTTGGACAATACTGGATTTGTAAGATGCTCATTTAAAAGTCCAGTTTGTCCCCAAGGATCCTTTGATCACTTCACTGCAGGAAATAACTTCAGTACAGTTCCCTTTGCCCACCGAGTGAGTGCCTTCTGAGTTTTCCCAGGTGTAGAGCCATAGCTAGGTGATCTTGTGCCCTTGGCAGAACTGTCCAGATTGCACCCACTAGCCACAGACAAATTAGCTTTTCTTTCCACCTCTCCTCCAACCCCCCCTCCACCCATTCAATTTCAATTCCTCACATACTAATCAATATTTTTATTTATAGATATATTTATGGATATATTTCTAGCCAATTTGTGCCCCCCCTCGCCTACACCCCTGGCGGGGGTCCACCTCACCAACCCCTGGCTACAGCCCTGCCCAAGTCCCTTCTAAGAACAAAATTTGCTCCATTGCTCTTAATGACAGAAAGGTTTTTAAAGCTGTTCCTAACTTTATGCATATTTTACATCCTTTGACATGTTTATGCTTGCCTAGGAGAAAACTATATGAGATACAATTCAGGTCCCCTACAATCACATTTCCCCCCCTTCCAAAAACAGCAACAACAACAACACATGAAATTTCTAATTCTTTTTTACTTTTATCATACCTTAGCTTTACAAACTGAAAACCAAATTCACAGATATACTGGCCTACCAATATTATCAATGGCCCTCTGGTTGTTGCTGGACTCCAACTCCAGCTAGCATTTCCAGTGATCAGCGATTATGGGAGTTGTAGTCCAGCAACATCTGAAGGGTCACAGATTCCCCGTTCTTGATTTAATTAAATATTCTGGTTTATGCCCCATTGCAAATCACTTTAGAACTTGAGAAACTTTGGTCCTGGTCTACAGACATGTACATAAAAAGTTATGTTTTGCTGAAGTATGCCTTTTGGATTTCATGGCATCCAAACTACTTGCAGATTTTTTATTTCAGATGTCTTCATGTAATTACAAATTTATGCTTCAGCAAAGGAAACTCTTAAAAGTATCCAAGCATGCTATTCCTGAAAAGACAACCAGATCTTCATACTGGAAAACTTCATCAATTCAAATTGATTTGTAGAAAATATTTGCAAATGAAGGAAAATTTGAGGGCAGTAATCTTATGGTAAAGCTTTGTTACACATCTGTTTTCTTCATATACAAAGCAAAGAACCACATGCAGGAATCAAAAGACTATATAGTTCTCTGCTATGAAACATAGTCTGTGCTCCCTTATACTTCAGACCGCAGTAAGCAGACAGTAGATAAAGTATAGAATGATTCTTAAATCAAATTGTTGCAATGACTCATAAAAGTTTCCCCACCTTACAACTAAAATGGGACCTATTGTTCTAGCATTAAGCTGTTCAATTTAACATCAAAGCCTGACAAATAAAAAACCCAGTCTAGAAAGTATGCATTTTTATGCACAGTCAAGTGAACAATGAACTCAGTGTAAACCACAAAGCAAAACAACAAATAGTCACAGTACTGAAATAAAAAAATATGAAAATAAGTTTTAAGAAACACTGAAGTCCAGATACATCAGAGTCTAGAGACTATCATACAAGGAACCGGGAATAAGACAGAAGATCACAGCCATTAAACTGACGGGCAAAACGGTATGACATCATTGCCTGCCTTCTAGCCAGGAAGGGAAGCAAGGGATTATCTGAAGAGTCAACATCTGGAATGTATATATAAAACCAATGACAGATTTTCACACATACTCATTCATTGAGTTCCACTAGAATTTCACAGTGCAGTAGAAACAGTCATCTGTGACCTGTTTTCACACATTAATACTTGAAATGACGGAATAACTATATTAATCAGCTTGATATACTAAAACAAGGTTGTGTTCTTTAAGAAGTAGAAGTGCATCAATAAAGCCTGTGTTTCCATTAGCTGTATGAAAGATACTGTTCTAACAACTGCACTACATTCAATAAAATACACTGGACACCACTAATAAAAAAAAATCTCTTTTTTGAACTTAATCCTTTAGAATGATGAGGAGGATATAAAGAAAAAGTTTTATCCCTTTTAATTCTAAAAGTATTAACATTACAGACAGCATACTTCTCAGACAACTGGGATACAAAATGCCTTCATTTTCCATTTCCATGATGGAGCAGAACTCTTTTCACACAAAGAAAGAAAATGATATTTGAAATATGTAATAGTTCAGCAGAAATCCACCAATAAAATAAGTGATCTTCCTAGATTTTGGCAATGCAAACTTGCAGTGATTATTTATGAGCCCAATAAAATCACAGTTAAAAAACACAAAATTCTATTTCCTTCTCATAGTAACAATAGTCTTTCAAAGCAATTTTACCTTGAACTGTTAGAGTTGCCGATGCTTCTGCTTTTCCAACCATATTTTCTGCAACACAAGTGTAAGAACCCATGTCTCCTGCCATAACTTTTCGAATCTTCAAGGTATGGTCATCACGGATTTCATATCTAAATTAAAGAGAAATAATCTATTAGACTGATTTGTCATACTGCTATATATGAGAGTGGAGCAGGGCTGATTTCTCCAACAAGATAACTGTAAGCTATCAAGGGTATATGCATTGGCATCAATGGTTCTATTTCAGCTAAATGGAAGACCATAACAAGCCTTCAGCCTTTTTGTCCAATACAGTATACAGAAATATATTTAATATTTCCTCTCATGCTGATATGACCATTCCCTTTTTATGTGAGAACATTAATCATTCTAGAAGAAGAAGAAGAAGAAGAAGATATTTAAACGGTTAAAACTGTTTGATCAAAGAAATTAATTGATTAAACATGGAAGGGTCAATTAATATATTCCATTTTTTAAGTACCCTGCCCACCTTTTTAAAGTTTCCTGGTTTCTGACTCTTGAAGCAATCATGTGCTTAGTCCTTTTCTCTGTTCCTCCTGAAATAAGCCTGGCAAGGCAGGACTAAGAAACTCCCCTTGAGCAGCCTTCCTTCTTAACAGTGGCAAGCAAAATACACTGCTTTCGTTATTCCCCAGGTGGCCTATTCTTCAGGCTCAACTATAGCCATATGATTGGTCTACACTTTGTGTCTCTCTCCAGCTGGAACCTCAGCTGGCATGGCCAGAAGTGAAGAGGCTGCTGGCGCACCAGATGTTTGGGGGCGCTCTCGCATACTTTACAGACACATCAGTGGCTCTATAGAGCCAAACATGGACTCACTTGCTATGATCCATCACCTAAGCAGGTGGCATACTAACACTGGTCAAAGCAAATGAAGAGATAATAGGAATAATTTTCTTCTTTTAGAAACACATATTCACCTCCTAGTTCACATAAGGCACTATCAGGGGCCTCGTGTCAAATTTTCCCAGCTCCTAAGTGTGCTATCTTTATGCACAAATGCATTTCCCTGCGTTTAAGGGGAGTTACTACCGAGAATCTCTGCAGTCAGAAAGTGAAACCAATTGAACGCTCTGTTCAAGGAATGCAGGGATGCCAGAGTTGCCTTTAGTAATACACTTGATCACACAACATCTCTAACATAATATCAAGCTGACAAGTAAAAATGGACCAAGACTATCTGCATGATCTTGGGGGCAGGGCAGAAAGTTGTGGGAGACGAGTATCTTTCACTTAACAGGATTGCTCTATCCCTTATATTTTCCCTGGCTCAGAAAGTCAAGAAAACCTTTTCGAAAGATGTTATTAAATGAATTTGAAATTAATTAAACAGACTAAAGATTAACAGATTAACCATCTGATGATGAAATGGTTAAAGCTTCTTTAATTAAATTTATTTACTTAAGAATTTATAACCTGTCTTTCAACCTAAATCTTAGGTCCTGGAATTACAGAGTAGAGAATAATGAAGCTTTCTTTATGACCACAGCACATTCACCAAAACATGATACCAGATAAAATTTCAATCAATAATAAAAACCACAGAGGTAGCTAGGGTTCCACTGTTTTTTGTAACAGAATAAAATGTTCTTGTGAAATTAGTAAAACAACTTTAAGCATGCTAGATTATGTGTGGAGTTCAAGCTTGTAAGATGAGAGTGTGTGCGCAATTTACTGTAGAACAATCTTGTATCACACAATTATGCTCTTCTGGCATCATTATGATTGTTTCACTCCAAGCACACAGTAAACCAAAACCACAATTTCTTGTAGAAGATTATTAAAGTCTGCTGCACCTTGCTTTAGGTAGCTCTCCATCATCTTTTCGCCACCTTACTGTTGGCACTGGATCACCACGTGCTTCACAATTAAACTCTGCACTGTCATCTGCGGTTACTGCCAAATTACTTGGTCTCTTCACAAATGATGGTCTTTCTGAAAGAAACAAATGGGCAGCACAGGTTAGAGTGAAAGAAAGGATGGGGACATGAAACATGAAATGCATGCCAAATTTTAAAAGGAAAGTTGCAGTAGTTTTCCTGCAGGGGCAGCATTTACATTTTGGGGGTGGATAATGAGAATTTGCTTTATCCCACTTCCTTTTTATGGGCATTTTAAAACAAAAATACCATACGTAAGAGAGGTACCCGTAAGTAGGAAACCTGCCAAGTTACAGACAAATCGCCTACATGTTGGCTAGCTACCATTATCCTAATGTACTTTTCCTTGTTAGCGAGCAGAAGCACAGACCAAATGGTCTAGGACCAATGTCCCATGGTCTATGCTGGAGCAATCAAGGGTACTTGGGAAATGTTACCTTTTTGGCATGATCAAAATATGCATTTACCCAGCCTTACGACAATATTTAGCTTTGGAATCCGTATTTATTTTTTTACATTATATCATGCTACTGATAAAGGAAGAAGCTTTCCATACCTAAAACTGTGAGCTCTGCCACTTCACTCTCTCTTTCTCCCACCATGTTTGTTCCAACACAGACATATTTGCCAGCATCATTCTTCCTAGTATAGGTGATCATCAGCTTTCCTCCTCTGATCTAGAACAAGAAAATAATAATAATTAATAGTAATAAGTCTCAAACAGTTGTGTAAGCAGAATACAATTCACACACCTACTTTTGCTTTTCTCCTGTGAGTTCATGCGCCCTCTGAACAGTGTAGGCAGTGTTGTACAGTTGTGCAAGACCACCCGTTTTCATGTGATTTGTACTATACAACACAGCCCAAACAGTTCAGGAGAAGTATAGCACCCTGATCAATAGAAACAATAGTAGCACTCTACCCTGCCTTGGTCAGACTCCACCTTCAATACTGTGTCCAGTTCTGGGCACCACAGTTTAAGAGGTATATTGACAAGCTGAGGGCTACCATCAGCAATACTAATAAGGGATCAGATTTTACCAAAGGATAATGATTGCATCTTCCTCATTATGAATAAAACTGCTTCAGCTAATAGTCCACAAGAAGAAACCGTAATATAATGATACAGTTCTATTTCCAAAGCCCAACTGACAATATTGTTGATGATGAAAAAGTGTATTCAAAAATGTATGTTTCTGAAGAACAACAGCTACATGTTTAGCAGCCTTCTTGTAGGGTAGAGGGACAGATGTTTCAAGAGGTATCTAGCTCACTTAAAAACCTTTCTAGACTTATCCCCTATTTTCCACCAGATCATTAAACCAATGAATGTATTGCCACACACACACACACACACAGAGAGAGAGAGAGAGAGAGAGAGAGAGAGAGAATATGCTGTGTATTAAGACCAGTTCTGTATATATACTCAATCCACCACCTACACTCTGCAGTTACATCATCTGAGCCTACTGATTATATAAACAAAGTATGTACAAAAACAATTTTGTTTAATTTACTCTGCAGATATTATAACTTCATTTGTTTTATCTACTTTAGCAACTTTTATGAAATCAGTACTGTAAAGCAGTATTTCAGCAAGCCTATGAAGAAGTACCGGTAGTTGTTTCTCTGTTCCTTTTGAGCATGGGTAGCGAAACTAAGGCCGAGGAGTTGGATCCGGCCCAATCACCTTCTAATTCGGCGCACAGACGGTCCAGGAATCAGCATGCTTTTACATGAGTAGAATGTGTCCTTTTATTTAAAATGCATCTCTGGGTTATTTATGGGGCATAGGAATTTGTTCACTTACTTTTTCCAAAATATAGTCCGGCCCCCCACAAGGTCTGAGGGACAGTGGACTGGCCCCCTGCTGAAAAGGTTTGCTGACCCCTGCTTTTGGGTGATAACACTAATACTCCCTTTTCACCAGTATGGTATCCAACTGTGATACAATAGCTGTCAATTATGTAAATGATTGACTGTGGTGACTTCCTACTTGATGAGAAGCAGGAGACAGTATTAGAATAAATCTTGTTATTTAATAGTGATTTGATGTTTTAATGTTAAGTTACCAAAGATTTACTTTATTATCTGAGGGCACATTCCCTCCAACTACTAGATAAAGCTACCATTTTTTTAACTTCTATTTCCTTTTCTTTACAATTCAGTACACCACCAAAAATTAATGTCCAGCTTTGAAAATATAAAGATTGTATAGTTCTTCTTAGCTTCTCTTTTTAATATCTGTAAGAGACCCTGCACAGAAAGAATTCAATTTTGCAATGTAGTTAAATATGAATTGTATATGTACTGGTAATGTGGCGAAAGTGATTAAAGTTATGTAACAGTACTTGTGTTTAATACTTCCATATTCTATTGATTTTTCTTTGTTGTTGTCCTTATAAAAATAAAAGCAAAACAAAAAAACCTTCTGTTTTTCATCTACCCAGGAACCTGTTTGTTGTGCTTTACAATGGGAAAAGATCAGGGCAACAGCTAGAGTTTAAATATTGTGGAAGGATGTAAGAAACTGCATGTTTCTTTGTCCTAGCAGTCCTAGGTGCAACCTGAAATTTGCATAGTTCCTGTGACAGCCTAATCTAAATCAATAAAGACTTCCAGCAAACTTAAAAGTCTTGCTCACTATTTTTTTTTTGCCCAACTGTGGATTTTGGATATTTTCTTATCATCCAACTCTGCTCCATTGCTATTCATCCACAAGATATACTACAGATTTACACATACAACTCAATACCAGGTATTAAAGTTTTTCTGGGGGGTGGGTTGGGAATTCTCTTTCAATCAGTAACTTATTTACACTTCTGATTCAATACAGAAACAGGAACATGTCAACAAATAACCTATCTGAAGAAGTGTGCATGCACATGAAAACGTATACCAAGAACAAGAACAAACTAAGTTGTTCTCTAAGGTGCTACTGGACAATTTTTAAATTTTTATATATATTTCGACTGCGTCAGACCAACACGGCTACCTACCTGAATCTACCCATTTGTGTGTGATACTAATCCTATCATGATAAATGCATTAGCCACCATAGATTTACAATATGCCTGTTCAGAAGCAGTATGCCACTAAATACCAGTTGTTGGGGCAAACAATGGTAAGCTGCCCTGCTTGTGATATGGCCATTATTTGAAACAGGATGTAGAACCAAATAGATCCTTGGCCTAATCCAGCAGGTCTCTTATCACATTCTTATGGCAGGTGTCCCACACAATACTGACTACTATAATTTTTTCTGATTATTCTTCAGAATGAGAATGGTGGTGTTCTCATATTTTCTTACTGAAGTACAGTGGTACCTTGGGTTACAGACGCTTCAGGTTACAGACGCTTCAGGTTACAGACTCCACTAACCCAGAAATAGTACCTCGGGTTAAGAACTTTGCTCAAAGATGCCAACAGAAATCGTGCTCTGGCGGCGTGGCGGTAGCAGGAGGCCCCATTAGCTAAAGTGGTGCTTCAGGTTAAGAACAGTTTCAGGTTAAGAACGGACCTCCAGAACGAATTAAGTTCGTAACTAGAGGTACCACTGTACTATGAGTTTGAATGATAAAAGTAGCCTGATAATCAGGGATATATTGGGGGAAATGGTCTATAACAGGGGTGTCCAACAGGTCGATTGCAATCTACTGGTAGATCCCCAGAAGGTTTCAGTAGACTGCAGTCGATTGCTGGGTCCCTTTCCTTAGCGTTGGTAAAACAGAATCCGGCCCTGCCCGCTCGCCCCGCCCTCCGTTGTTGCACGATCTGCAGAACGGAAGATGGAGTTTACTCAGTGAGGCTGTTTGTTTCCCCAGCGTTCAGGCTGTTCCCCTTTCTTTCTTGAGCTTAGGCTTTAATTCTCAAAAATTGGTGCTCAACAACTTTGACCTGACCCCCCCAAAAAGGGGGAAGATCACTGCCAGTTTTTAATTCTGTGAGTAGATCGCAGTCTCTTGGGAGTTGGCCACCCCTGGTCTATAATATATATTCCCGATGAATTTTATTATTAAAATCAATATAAAATACTAAATATTAAAGTATACAATCCTGTTTTAAAGCAACATATTTTTATTAAGGGCAAATTAAATCATTGCTAGCAATATTTTAGTCTAACTGGATAACTAACAGAATTCTTGTGTTGTAAGTAACATTACTCCACAGAATTTTTTCCATTGAAAAGCTGATCTGTTCAAGTACTCAAACCACACCCCCCCCCACACACCCCCCACTCTTCATATGAAGCAGCCCATGAAGAGACACCTTATGTTTTTCACAATGGAACAACTAGAAGTAGGACAAAGTTAACATAGCTATGCTCTGAGGCTTATGAACTTAGATCACAAATGATAATAATTTAGATTGAAGACAGAAGCACATGTGGTGGAAAAAAGCAAGATTCCCATATAGCCGTGTGAGGCAGACTAATATGATCATTGGCTACAGGGAGCATGTTCACAGTGTGAAGTGCTTCACTAAAGCCGCCTACAGCTAGAAATCTATCCCAGAAAACTTGACATCTTGAGGAAGATAGGACTCTTATTATCACTGCAAGACATATGCACACAAAGATGACAGTCAGTTATTGAGATAGATGAACATGCACATATAATGTAGAATGCACTGCATACAAATGCCTTATTTTTTGCCTTCGGCACAGCTTGTTTGAGCACAGAAACAAAAAGTATGTCCTTTATCATCTAAAAAAACTAGCAGTGCAGAAATTTCAGGGAAGATCTGAGGCATGGAAAATGGATATTAAAAGTGACCCACTAATATGTTTTTTAAAAATAAGTAAAATGTATTTTCGTGTCTGTGATATCAAATACCGAACACATGCAATATATTTAATGGAACTAGTTTAGTGATAATTTTCCCCCACAAGCACAGAAAGTCACACAATCTACTATTTTAACAAGGATAAACTCAAACTACAGTACTTACTGGTTTGGGACAACATTTTCTGCATTGTCAACAACAAACAAAGCCCCCCATAGTGTCTGCAAAATGCACCTTGTCATTTAACTCACTCTTAACTGGCTTTGCTCACTATCAGTGATATCATTTCATACCAATGTCCGATTGGCTACACAATATTTGGTGCCACCCAGTTCACTGCGTTGAAATCTTGGTTGAAATCCTTATCGTTATATCTAATCCAGACAAATGCAGAGAAAAAATGCTGCTTTGGAGCCATAATGGAATACAAGGTCACTGAAAAAGATATTCGCCACCATCACATTTAAAAAAAATACCCTGAAACCCAAATTGAAATAGAGTATTTGGGACAGATCTGCTTTTATGTGTGTTTATATTCACACTAAATATATTACTGATCACTTATACAAATGGACACCTTAATTATTGTCCATCTTCAAGTAACAGTGACCTCATTCACACATCAAAGTAAGCAAACTATAGCTTACCAGGACTGTACAAACATGCAGCCTTCAACAGAGGAGATCACAGCGGCTTGGTTTCACCCCAGTCTGATTTAATCCCTAGCTGAGCTAACTCCAAATTGACTTTTTATTTTAAAGCATTTCTGAACGGCTTCATATTTTAAATATTAAGTGGTGTACACTACTGTATGTACAATATAAAAACAATATCCATTAAAACAAAACAGCAGCCTAAAATCAATTAAACAATACAAAGACATAAAAGCAAATTAAATAGATTCAGGGTCTTCATACACCTAAATCAGGGTCCATTGTTATGCATCAGATAAAGATAAGACTATTATTATTATTATTATTATTATTATTATTATTATTATTCCGCCCATCTGACTGAGTTGCGGCTTCCAACAAATTATTAAGAGAAGCATTGGTTCTCTGTGGGACTATCTCCTTCTTATCTACTCCTCAATTTATAATTTTGAAGTAAGGAAATGTGTTACAAGCCTGCAATTAATGTATTCTCAAGGAAACTGACCCTGTTAAGCTTCTGGAATTTTCTACCACTTAGGGAAATGGAATGTGCAAAACCCTAATGTCCCTCTTTGAGATACTTTAAGCTGTTAAGAACATTCATCTCCTGACTTACAGAAGCTTCATATGGAAGGTGTTATATTTTTGCTATGTGGTTCATTGAGCAATAACAGAATGCATATAAATTAGTCTTTGAAACAGTAGCTGGGTTTAAGCTAAGGAGCGACATGCTCATAGTTCTATGAAACAGAAGAGATGTGAAGTCTCTATATTAGCAATCTTCCCTCTGTGCCTGAATATAGCTACCACTACAGAAAATGAGAAATATATAAGATGACAATGCATAGGATTATAAAATTCAGACCATAATGCACAATTATTCTTGATTCACTGCTTTATGTTTTTCCTCTGTATAATCAATAGCTGAAATCAGAAATAAAAAGTGAACTTGAACTGAACTCATTTCCCATTATTCCTTAATTTTTCTGCCCTGGAAAAAGTCAGATGATTTCATGTCTCAGTTTCAAAGAATTTCCCCCCACCCTCACAAGTATCACCACTATCAAGTTATCCACACTTTTCCAAGGTCAAACATTCTAACAGATGGATAATAATTAACAGCTTCAGGCACATACAAAGATCATATTTAGCTTAAAATGACATTATTAAAAATACAGTAAATTTTCTGGACAAAAAAAGATAGTCACGAGCCACAAATTCATGCTAAGAAGCTAAACCAATCTATCTGAATTACAAACCAGCTACTCAGTTTGCCCTTATATGAACTTACCGTATACCTCTGAGAAGTGACCAGTGTGCCATGTAGCATTTTCCTGATCCTAATTGCTGTTTCCTGTCACTGCAACTTCAAAGCAGGAGCTAATTAGCTTCTCTTCCTCTTAAGCCTGATTTCCTGCTAGACAACCCTAAGGATGTTTCTGCCAAATGAAAAACGTCTTCTTGCATTCTACGTGTGACGACATACTACAACCCCCATGTCCTACATGGCAGTATATGACATCTAGAAAGAAGGGTGGTATATAAATGTCAACACCACCACCACCACCACCACATTGAGGTTTCTGGGGAGATGTTGTTTCTTCCTCCGCTTTGATTTGTTTAACAGGAGATGCAGCACTCAACACTCACTGAACTTTCTCAACATTCAAAATGTACCTTCTGGTCCAAAAAGGTTGGTTGCCCCAGGCTTAACACAATGAAAGCAGGGGTTTTTAAAAGGCTTAACTGTGGGCGGGGTATACTAAAATCCCTCTTGTATAATCACAGAAGTATCCATTTCCTATATATTTGCATTATTTTTTAAAAAGTTGTCTCATAGTATAATTTCCCCATTTGAGGGATGATATAGGACTTATCGGCCAGCAGATATTTTCCCCATGTACAGATATCTGTGCAGAAGAATCTGTTATGTACATATATGTCTGTCATCCAAGCCAATTTCCAATAATGGAAAAGGAGCTTCCAGCATCATCATCATCTTTTTTTTAATGTGCAACATCACACAGCAATTTCTGAATGGCCAAGACAACATAATAAGTAACATCTCTTGATGCATTGGGATACTGTGCTTGAAAAACAAGCTAATATTTCCTTCATTAAAAACGTACAGGACTTCACTTGTTATCCCAATGAGAAGATGCACTTGTATTATATAGACAGACTGTAACTCAGAAGCATATGGAATAAATTGTTCTTGCAAAATCTTGTGACGCACAAAGAATTTAAGCAAAACAAACCCCTCTTTATTTCAAACAGTTCATTAGCTTAAAACATTTGGTTCTAAAAAAATGGATTTAGTTTTTATGCAAGGAAGCTAACCCTTTACTGAAACTTATATATTCTTGAAAATTGGAATTACTAAACAAGCCTGCAGCTACAGTTTTCATGTTAAGAATTTTGAACAGTAAATATTTCCAATTATACCTAGCTATTGTCTGGATCAATATTAATAATTTAGCAGTAATTAAGATATTATGTGATGAAATAGTGTCAGTTTAAAATGTGGATTGAACCAAAATTAAGATTTAGGGCAATGAGCAAGGCTATATATAGTGAATTAATTCTGTTCATCAATCTGCATTCTTCACTCAAAGCATTCTGAAGCCATCCCACTAATGTTAAATGTCTCATACAGCCTCTGCTGTACAACCAGATGACATTCTGTTATGCCTTTCTGTCTTTCATTACCTCCCTGAAAATAGCTTCCAGTTGCAAATAAAACCACTTCAGCTTGGTTACCCAAACCCTGAAACCGTATAAATTGTGACAGAAAGTATCTAGTTTTTTGCCTAGTGCTGCAAAGCAGTTTTGGAAGACGTCCAACATCTTGTATGTTGGTTCGGTGCTTTTGCACATGCTTGCTATCTGTACTTGGCACAATCCTGAGAAGAGGTAATTGCAACTCTGTTCAGTGGAGGAAACCAAAGACCTGAAACAAATATTATTTTTGAAGTTCTGTGCTTTGAATTACACTTTTCATAGGGCCAGAAGTTGTATAGGAACTTCAGAAATGCAAAGCTATCCATAGTGGAATGCGAAATAAGCAAAATGTGAAATGACTAGACTGAAAGAAAATAAAATGTATCAAAGAAATCTAAACAAGGATACACTAATCATTCACATCTGTTTCCAAGCTCCACGCAAGAGAACCTCTTTTCCCCTAAAATATTGTGCAACTCCCCTCCCTGCTTTGAGAGAATGCAATGAATGAAAAGTCATCATACATTTCAAGAGAGGTATTTTTAAAACAGTTTTATTATGTCCCTTGTAGTTTACAGATGCAAAAAGATGCAGCTTAGCTACAAATATATCTAGATAGGTAGAATATTTTCTACCCCCATCATTCTGGTGCCCATCCACCACCCAGGGAAGCCTTGAACGATTTAAAATCACAATAAAAAATTAAACAATTAAAACACATACATTACACAACACTAAAATCAGTTAAAAGCCACAGCAACAAAGATCATCAGTAATATGACTTTAATAGTTTAAGCCAGGCTTTCTCAACCTCGGCCCTCCAGATGTTTTTGGCCTACAACTCCCATGATCCCTAGCTAGTAGGACCAGTGGTCAGGGATGATGGGAATTGTAGTCTCAAAACATCTGGAGGGCTGAGGCTGAGGAAGCCTGGTCTAAGCCTCTTAGAATATAAATGTTAGTATCTCAAACAGATTATAAATAAAAGAATGTGGTCCTTCCTATCAGCCAAGATCACACCCTCATCGGAGATGAACAGCACAATCATACGCAGATTTACTCAGGAAGTACCGTATTTTTCGCCCTATAGGACGCACTTTTTCCCCTCCAAAAATGAAGGACAGAGCGTCCTATGGGACGAAAAATACGGTAAGTCCCAATATGTTCAATGAAGTTTATTCCCTAGAAAGTGTGTTTAGGATAGACCACCTTAGCTTTGAAGAGTGGCCGAAATTCAAGAGGACTGGGGCAGAATTTTTGGCAAAATATAAGCTAGTCTTAGTGGGTTGGGGGCTCCGTCAGATTAATTTGGTAAACAGGCAACAGTCACAGGTCATCCTACAACGTTTTATGAGAATGCTGCCTATTACCTTAATCACTCTTCACATAAATGCAGCTGGTGCTTGTGCTGTGACTTAATCCTGTGTCTTTAAAAGGGGCACAGCTTTAAATATTTTGCCACTGGCAATATACAGCCCCAACTCTGGAAGGAAACTTCTACTCCCCAAAAGCCCACGAGGTAACTACTGAAATAGATTGCCTGAGGCTGCAAAGCCATTCAGTTTAAGCAACCTCTAATGGAGAAAAAAATTGGGGCTGCAACTTTCATCCTTCCATTAAGGTTTTCTAGCTCTTTGAGGGAAGAACTGCATGGCAGATGCTACCCTATTCTGCTGGCCTGGACACCAGCTCTGCTCTGAGATATGACCTAGGGTGGGGGAAGAGGGCTTCCCAGAAGAGACTGCTCTTTGTCAAGCACAAGGATGTCACTGGCAGTGGTGGAGTTTCTCCTGTTCTTCATAGCCAGAATCTACATTGATAGAACTATGTAACTGCAATGTAAGAACTGTAACTTGTGTTTGAACTTGCTTTTCCCTCTTCCCTCCCACTTCCTTTTCCTGATATGTCATGTATTTAGATTGTGCGTGTCTCAGTACTGATCTTTGAAAGATGCTCAGAGCCTAAATGGTGGGGTATGAATGAAATGAAAAACACCAGGATTAATAGCCATTCCTCAACCCATTTCTAACAACCAAAATCATTTTCTTTCTTTTAGCAATTCAGTTTTGAAAATCCTAGACAGCACAAGTAGCTGAAGCTCAAAAGAAGTACCAGGTTTCTTCTAATTTCTTTAAAAGGTACAGTCTTGCAGTCTCTCTCATTTTACTACTGTAAGTGGTCCTTGAAATTCAAAAATCTAGCAAGAATGCCCAAATATTTTCAGTTTCCAGTCTGATGGCAGTTTCAAAACAGTCGTTTTAAGTAATACATATCTGCTCCATATTTGTTCCATTTAGGACAAAAGACAACAGAAATTTTTACAGAACATTAATAAATGTAGTTTCCCCAACTTAGCAGATTAATTCCAAATTTATTTCAATGACAAATCATGTTACATCATATAACTGGACAAAATAAATATTTGGTTGCATGCATTTAAGCATAGTACAGGATAATATTGTTGTTGACTTTCTCAAACTTCAATTATTTTAAAAGTCTGAAAAATTTATAGAGTTTATCTAAATATTCATACTGCAATGGTGTTCCAGCTGAATATCATTTTTAGTTGGCCAACTCACTCATACATATAATGTGATTTTCAGCTCCCATAGGCTGTGATATTACAGATACAATGAATATTTGTAAATTTTGTTTCATGAATATTCATAACAGATGCGTTCCAAATAAGGCAATAGGTTAACAGTTACTACAGATCCATGAAAAGGAAACATTACTTGTGCCCAATATTTCACAATTTATTTCATAGAATAGGGATGAGAAAAATAGCTGGATATGAAGCACAATAGCAAACAGGTCTGTCAGGGTCCTATATAAGGAATAATGTGGCAGAAAAGTCTGGAACACTACTAAATATTAATCCATTTTTTAAAAATTGCCACACCAAAGAAAGGATGAGTACACAGAACCCCCACCTTTTTTTTTAAATGATATTTATTGAAAAAAGAAAAAATTTTTTAAATTACAAAGAAAAAAGAGAAAACAGAAAAATAAAAAAATAAAATAAAACCATCATTTTCAAATTCTCCACTTTCATTACCTTCTTTCTATGACCTCCTCCTCCTCCCTTTTCTTGTATCTTGATTAATAGTTGTCACAGCAAATCCTTTCCATAATTCATAGTATTCTGTCATTACATTACCTTACTCTATTTTCATCTTATCTTATAAAAAACCTTAAAGCTTAAGACTTAAATCTTATTTTTACCAACTTCTCATAACCATTACCTTTTTACCTAATTCTTTAAACATTTTTACAAGAGCCAAGTAGTTTCATTTCAACATTTTCCTAACATTCATCAATTTTATAAAACATTCCTAATGATAGAAAAAAGAAATAAGAACATTCCAATCTTCTTCCAGCGTCCCTTCCTCCTGGTCCCGGGTTTGTCAGTCCTTTTTATCCCATTAGTCTGGCACATTAACCTGGTGATCTTATATCCGAGGCCTTCAAGTCTCTTCCATGTCCCTTCCGCAGCTCTTCTTCATATTTTCCTTTCACTCGTGGGAACTCCAGCTTGGTAGTGTTTTTGACCCTTTTCAACAAATCAGCCCCTTTCCCATAGTCCAGACTAGACTCCATGTGGTATTTTAAGACATGTTTCAAATTCCCTCCAAAATTGGGAGCCCCACAGCTCCAAACATCTGACGGCCCATTGCCAGACTCGGAAAGTCCAAACATCTCTGCATAGGGGGTCAGTCCAACCCCCATTTCCAAATCAATCCAAACTTTATCTTTCCAAATCTGGTTTTCCCAAGTTCATTTGTCAAATCCAAAGGCTCATTTTCCTGCAGGGCCAAAAGTTCCTCCCTTTCTGGCGCCCAAGATTCAGCAACATCCTCTTCTCTCAACTGTTCTGTCATGGCACACTCCTGTTTAAGTTCCTGGGTGGGCTCCATATAGTTTCCCACTACCTGTTCAAATGTTCTGGCCGCATTAGTCATCAAATCCGTCTTCTGGCTTAACTGATCCAAAAGGCATTTATTTTACAGAAAGCACCCAACAGTGCTTCTGAAAACATTGTCCTGCAAGGTCACAAGTCCTTTCCCACGGTTGTAATCTGTGGCAGCTGCAAGCTCCCTAGAATTAGTTACAGTTTCACAGTCCCCCTCTAGGGGGAAAACTTCTGGTTGTTCTTTCTTTTAAAGACAATAGCAACAAAGTTTCTTTTTTTAAGATATTTTGTCAATATTTGTTCCTTTAAAATGTGAAAGGAAACAGTGGAATCACAATGTTACTCTTCTTTTAACTGTCTGTCAAAAACATTTGTCTCTGGTCAATGAGCTTCAAACGTCAATTCTGACACCCCGCTCCAGGATCAGGACGGTGGAAAGTTACTTTACTTTAAACTCACTTCTGCAGGTTTAAACAGTCCAAAAAAAGATCCCCCTTCTTCTCCTGCCACCGAAGGGGGATTCAACGATTTTAAATGGTGAAAACCAATCCTTTGAAAGTGATTTTCTAAGCTCTGGTTTACGTTGTCTTTGCTTTCTTCTGACTACAAGGAAACGGAAGGCTGACTTCCTGTTTAGACCTTCCCGTTTCAGTATCAAATTAAGGGAAATTTTTAAATCCAATTCCTTTCTAATCGCCAGTTCTTATTTGAAGTCCAATTGTTCAATGTTTAAGTACTCACGGGTGATTATTTTAGATGCCAAATTGTCCCAGGAAAAGGCAGCGCTCTCCGGCAACGGCTATGCGGCTTCGCTCCACGGAAAAAGCAATTGACTCACAGCACCGCGCCACTTCCCCCTCTTCGCTTCGGAGCCCGTTAGTGGGTTCCTTTGCGGGTTGGGGGGGCGCTAAGGGTGCCCGCCGAGTCCCACGGTCACAGGCTTCATCCGCCTGTGATTTCTAAAAGGGTCCCCGCTTCGCCGCAGCGGAAAAGACCCGTTTCGCGCGGAGCTGGTCCCTCCGGTTCAGAGGGAGTCCGCCATTGCCGATGGCGCCACCCCGGAAGTCCAGAACCCCCACCTTTTAAAACACAACTATGTGAGATCTGCCTGCATTTAAACGTGATATGTTATCACATTTGGCTGTAAACACTTCAAAAATCCCAATCTCACAGAAATATGTATCTGTTCGTGTGTATCAAACATGCAATGACAGTTAGGAACTGGATCTATTTGGAAATAGTACATACCTAATATCTGTAAATACCTAATAAAGAGTTGTTAAAACTTGTAGTTGTTCATGTATCTGTGGATGCAAATTCTAATATCTATAAAAGGCTCCTTACGATGAATTTGTCTAGATCCCCTCAGCTCCTCTGTGACGATGAACAACTAAACCAATGGCAAAAGGAGACACCATGATAGGTTTGCCTAGAAAGTTCCAATGTGGCAGTGGAAAAGATCATCTAACGATAGCAATAAAGACTGTAAAAGCAGAGAGAACAGAGTCATAAGGAGATGGGAAGCACATGAAAAGGAAACTGGGAGCATCTTTGATGTGACAAAATGCAAATGTTCTACTGAAAGAGAAGATGCACAAATTTTTCCTTTGCCTGTGGAATTCAAGCATCACTCATGAATGAAGATGCTCTCCCAGTCAATGTTATCAAGGACAAGGTAAACTCATTGGAAAAGGACCTGCCCTTTTTGTGGTGCCATGCTCATGGACAAAATAATCGTAATAATTATGATTGAATTATGAAGGAATAGAAAGGACCCCCGGGGTCAGCTTGTCCAACCTCTTGCAATGCAGGAATCTTAAATAGATAATACATAAAAGATGGCCATCAAATCTCTGCTTAAAAAGGAGAGTCTACCACCTCCCCACTGATGAACAGCTCTTAGTCCTGTACTTGAGCTATGTGTTCTAGGACCTTTCCTGCCATCGATGTCAAGCTCACTTGTCAGCAATTACCTGCCTCTTCTCCCCCTCCCTTTTTGAAGATGGGGGCAACATTTGCTCGCCTCCAGTCCACAGGGACCACCTTTGTTCTCCAAGAATGGTCCGAGATTATAGACAGAGGCTATGAGATTACATCTGCAAACTCCTTTAATACACTTGAGTGGAGCTCATCAGGCCCTGGAGATCTGAATTCATTTAAAGTAGCTAGGGGTTCCCTTACAACCTCTTTTCCTATCTTGGGCTGCAGCTCCTCTTTTGCATTGATAACTCTCTTGTCACCAGGTTGGGTGCTGCTTGGATGTAAATTATTTGATGTTACCATCTCTCATAAGGTATAAAGTGACTCTTGGGAACTTTGCACTGCTAGCTAACTAGGGGAGACATGAGCATTTTGTTCACCAAAGTGTGTCGAGTCTAATCCATAATAAATTATTTCAGTTTTGCCACATGATTTACAAAGAAGCTGCAGGCTCTTAGCTAGCCGAGTTAAAGCAATCTCCTTTAACATACTGTAGACAAATTTATTTCTACCCACTAAAAAACTATTGTATAGTATAATTATAGTAACTTTTTTCCTGAACGACCTGGACAAAAAGACTAAGATATCCATACAGGGCCCAGTATGTCTGAACTCAATACAGTTAAAAACCCAAAGATGACAATGTTTACAAAAGAAAAAGAGAGAGTACACAATATAATATGCTAAGAATTTTGTGAAAATGTACCTAAAAGAAACACTGAGGGGTTAAACCTATTGCATCCAGACAAAGCCAAACTCATAGTTTTTAATCTCCTGTTTGACCCTTCCTCTATCACAGCAATTCATCTTTCGAAGAGAAAGTACCCTCTTTGGGATGGAGATTAATTTGGTGCTAGTTTCTTCTTTCATCTATTACACATAGATCTTTTTTGGCTGATATACATAATGACTTTTTCAATTTCTTTTACCCTTTGTCATCTAACTACTTAAAATGTTTCACTTTGAAATGAAGAAAAATAGAACTTTAAAAACTCTACAGGAAGATTGAATTGTGTCTTGGAGTAATTTACTACTGCTACCAATACGGAAACAAATAATTGCTGATTGAACAAAAACTTTGAATGTCATTCTTTCCACGGTGCAATTGTACAGTAATTTTCCAGCTCATTTTCAATATTGTTTTCCCAAAGAAAATTGTGTCCATAAACTTAATTTGGCAATACATACAAAACATTTCAAATTCCTGATGTGCTATTTAGGGGATCAAGCAAAATAGAAATGGAGCTACAACTTATCTGAACCATTCAAAATCTGAGCTATACATGCAACTGAGATGAAAAATTCCATGCTTTTAAAAGCCAAGAATCACAAAGATAAAAAAAATTTACTTATCAAGGTTTTCTTTTTAAAATGAGCATGATATATAAATGGCAAAGAAGTGAGGAAATGAAAAACAAGTGTTATTGCAAAAGGGGCGAAATTGGATTCACAGTATTTAACTCGGCTTCCTAGGCCAAACCCTTCATTCTTGGAAGCCAGCTGAAAGTAATCTCTTTGTATCTTGATGCTTTTAATGTATGTGTAAAGTATTTTGCTTATACATTTATGCACATCATTCGCTACACTTAAATGGTGCAGTTAATTAACATCTCAATTAAATGTGTTTTTAAAAGAATGTAGATGTTCATGGAACATATTGCAAAATAGGAGATGGTTCTTTCTAATACTGATTCTAACTCCTCGGTTTTCACATCCTTAGTTGATAAAATAGGAGACTATATTAACAAGTGAGCACTGCAGTACTTAAGCTTTATAACAAGAAAGTTCCCAATTTAGTAAATAATTGAAGGAAAATGTTGAAGCTGCTTAAAATTTCTATATTTATTAGCACCCACCCAAATCTTATGCATGTTTTCTCATAAGTAAGTCCTACTATGTTTAGGGCTTGATCTTCTTTTGCAGTATCTTATATCCATCTTTGGATATGTCTCTTCAAGTTCTCTCCATCATTATCTGCTATTTGCTTCTTGCTTCCACAAAAGTCCTGCTGTTTTAGATCATCAGCCCATCACATAGATGATTATCCCCTTAGTCTTTTGAAATTGTAAGGTTTCCATACTAACACTGCTTTATTTAGATAAATTCTAATCTTAGATAAATTCTAATAGCGCTTACTTCCTAATAAAGTAATGTCAGATTTTAGCTCAGGTTTGCCTATTCTTAACAGCTCCTTGTTGAAACAAAATTGTGTCACTATTCCAGTACATTAATAAAAACCATCCTGCTTTTGTTGGGGCAGGGGACGTTAACTCACAAAGGACTAAGTAAGACATTTTGCTGCCTAAGGAGAAGGACAAAATATCCCCACCCCATTCCACAGACAGAAGCTGACTGAACTGGCAGTTTAACTCAGCTTTATTGTCCACACCATAGGGTAAAACACATGCCAGACACATTTGGAAAGAGGCTGATTATATGTTTCAAATGTTTACATGGTAATGCTGGAAGTCTCTGAGCCAAAATGCTTGCAAAATGTTTCAGTGAGCTGAAATGCTTAGCTTTAAAGAAGAACAACATATTGAGGATATAATGGACACCTGGTGGAATGAAGGGAACAGGTGTAACACTCATCTCTGAATACAAACTGTAGTAGGGGTAGGGAGCCTTGGCCTTCTCATCATGCCTAATCATTGGGCCAGGCTGGTTGGGATTGAAGGAATCACAGAATTGTAGATTTGGAAGGGGCCACAAGGACAATCTATTTCAACCCCCTGTGATGCAGAAATATTTTCACTAATGTGGATCTCGAACCCACTACCTTAATTTTAAGAGTCTCATGCTCTACTGACTGAGCTATCTTTAGAGACATCTGGAGGACCACTCTATTGGAAAGACAGAGGCTTTGGCTAGACTCTAGATGAAATTGTTGTGGGAAACCAATGGCGGCTGCCTCCAGATGATAACTCCGGCACCTTTAGTAAATTTTAGAGATAAGGTTTGATTATAGTGGTACCTCGGGTTAAGTACTTAATTCATTCTGGAGGTCCACTTAACCTGAAACTGTTCTTAACCTGAAGCACCACTTTAGCTAAGGGAGCCTCCCACTGCCGCCGTGCCACCGCCACGCGATATCTGTTCTCATCCTGAAGCAAAGTTCTTAACCCGAGGTACTATTTCTGGGTTAGCGGAGTCTGTAACCTGAAGCGTCTGTAACCTGAAGCGTCTGTAACCCAAGGTACCACTGTACTTAAGAAAAGGCCTCTTACTTACATAATCTCCAAGCTCATAATAGTTAGTTGATGGTCTTTGATTTAAAATTTCAGTGTGTTATTATATATTGATACTATTGTAAACCACTTTGATTTTTTTATAATATAGCGGTACATATTTTTATAAATAAGTAAATGTTTAGATATACAGCATGCAAATTATCTCAGACATGTGTCCCAATATAAATGTTAGTTTTCCAAAACAGAAATCATATACATGGAAGGTTCATGAGAATCGCATGAAAATCAGCCATCATACCATGAGCACTTGATGAGTTATATATGACAAGTACCCTGTGCCTAGCTCTCAAAGATGTAAGAAAGCAAACATGCCATATGTCTCCTTGTATTTAATTCTTACTGAAGAGCAGAATTATAATGCAAATATCTTTTCATGCACCCAATTTATAGGAGACCCTGATTTTCTCTTATAATGAACAGTCTTGCATTAAACGACTAGAGGAAGATCTGTTCCAGTCAAATCTATTAATTAGTTTCTCATCCATTGTTCATCATGGCTTCTTCCAGCAAACTGTTAAATTGGCTACGCTTACAGCAGAATGGAGTGGGATGTAAGTTGTAAAGTTCTGAAATGGCAGAACAGATAGTGCTACTTTAGAATACGTACAAGAGAAGGGACATACTTTTTTAAATTCTCCCTTGCACAATACACTTCCTATTGCACAGCAAGAACATGATACACATCCCTCATGATGAACTGGGTATTTCTTAGCAGATACTTTATTTTTTTAATGTCGAAAGCATTTAGAAAATGTTATTTGTACACCTTCAGTCTAAAATGATATAGCCCACTCTAGTAAATTTAATGGTCCTGCTTCTCATTACTTTTTTTGGTAACTTTTCTTATTACTTATCCATCAGTTGGCAAAACTTTTAAAAAGACAAAAGGGTTTGTTTCATTGTAACACTGAAAAATCAAGTTCAGTAGAGCATCTTTTTTTTTTTAGTTCAAAACTCTACAGCGAGGTCCAAACCCTGCATGCTTAGTCCCCCCCCCCCCCCGCAAAATAATTGCTGCAGTTATCCTATGTATCACTGTGAATGGAAAAAATTAACCGCAGGAACATAATAGTTGAGCCTGTCCATAACTGGCTGCAAAGATTTAAAGGAAAAAGAAACATCCCTGTAAAGAATTAACAAATTGCATGTTGGATCTAGACTTCCAGTGAGTGTAGTTCAACTCATGTGGCACTGGAGGAAGAGATTATTTTTCTGACTTCTCCTTCCGCCACATCCCCTGAAAACTTCTCTGATGGTGCTGGGAGATGCAGGAGGGGAAATTGGCAAAAAATTACCTCCTTCTGTTTTGTCCAAGAAGAGCTTACACTGCATTGCAGTTCACTCCATAGTCTGGATGCGACAACTATGTGTGTACTTGTTTTCTGTAGATATACTTGCAGGAACAGGGGAAACCCCCAGAATCAGAGTTCCTGCAACATCAGGTGCCTAACTGCAGATACCCTAATTATTTGTATGCATGCTCCACTTGCCCCATTATAATGCACAGGCAAGTGTGAGATTCTATTTTCAGCTTTTGTTCTTTTACAAACTTACTGTAATTCTTTCATCTTTGTCATCCAGGGGGGACCCATCTTTCTTCCATGAAATCGTAGGCTCAGGATGGCCTCTTGGAGGTTGGCATTCCATCACAGCTGGTTCACCTACTGCTACCATGACATCAGAAGGGTTTTGCCTGAAGTCATCACGCAGTACTGAAAAAAGCAAAGAGATAAGGGAAGTAAAATCAAAATGAGCACCAGTGATAAGGAAGCAGGATTAAACATCAAGTACTCTGAATGAGAAGAATCATTTTGTTAAAGAGGGCAATGGAAGGTTGAACTACAGATACTTCCAGAGCTTCTTCCTGAGGGTTTATTTCCGGGACATGAAGAATAATACATATTTGATTGATATGCTATTATTTAAACTTCTTAAATTTATTTATTTTATTTTTTAAACATGTAAATATCACCTGTCATGTGAAACACATCAAGGCACACCAAAATAAAGACAACAAAACAGTACAAGTATACAGTATTCTAAAAAGAAGGGAATAACGGATAATTATTAGACATACAGAAAAAAAAACCACACAGGGCATGAAAGCCCCTCACAGGCTTTTCAAAATCTCCGAAAATAGTGTGATGACAATAGTACAAAGAGAACTAAACCTAATTTTGCAAACTAAAGTTCATAGGGACACTATTATTTTATGTTTTATATATTTACTGTGGCGTTTCAGCCTCTTATCTGCCTGCAGTTCCAATATTGGATGTGAAAAGCTGACAAAGACAGACACAGACAATGTGTCACCCCAAGAGAAAAGCATGCCAGGTCACAAATGATCCTTTGGACTGCAAAGGTAAGTGGCCCCTCGCAACTTGGGACTACACCAGGGAAAAGGAAGAATTACCGGTAGTACTGGAGCATGTGAACTCTTTTTCACCATTCTCCAAATATCTCCTTCCTTCAGATACACAATAAATGGAATGCACAACCAAATGCTATATATTTTAGGTATTTTATTGCTGCATTATTTATATATATATTTATTTTAATTAATGGGAGAAAACACAATGCCAAATACAAAGCCGGCAGATAAGTTTTCTTTATAAAGATTTTTATTGTATTGTGAGGTTGATTTGTTGGTAAGTTGCTCTGAGTGGTTGGCACATGAGCACTAGAAGAGTGGGACAAAATTTTTTAATAAAATAAATACAAAGTGAGACAAATCTGCTGTACATGAAGGATGGTGATTCCAAGAAGAGCATAAACCTAAAGATCTAATTCTTATATATCCAAAGTGTGTGCACGCGCGCGCACACGTCCAGAGTATGTGCCACTAGAGATACAAAAAAGAAAGAGGCTCTTTCTTATCTGTTCATGATAGAGCACATGGATTCCTGGCATGATGACCATTTAAATACTCTCAACAAATAATCAAATTTACAAGATGCAAAGGCGTAAAACTCAAAAAAATTCATTGTGCTGAATTCCACATATGCTTTGCTTATGTCAGGACTTAAAAACATAGTTTTATAAGAACAGCACTCCTCAAGCTTGGGTCCCCATATGCTGGGCTACATGTCCCATCATCTCTGACCATTGGCCAAGTTAGCTGGAGATAAGGAGTATTGTAATCCAACAGCTTCTGGGGATCTAAGGTTGAATAGCGCTATTAGAAGGCAGACCTAAGTGTTACCCACCATCTATGTCTGAAGAGTTTATTCTCTGAATAGAGTATCCATCCAAAAGCTGGCTACAAAAAAACCCCCTGCAAGGTGCAATGAGACTTCTGTAAAATACACTCCTGTCAGCAGCTTGTTTTATTAGACTACAAAAAAACAAAACAAAACCCAGCAATGTAATATTTACTGCATTAAAATGTGCTCTTATATCATTTCAGAGTTGTTTGGAGTCAGGAACAGAGCTGTACGTAAGGACAGTCTTATTAAGTTAAGATTATATCAGAAGTTTAAAGTGAAGATGTATTTTGAAAGGATCTCACCATAAAGGGATTTTTTTTAAAAATCTAATTAAATGTTTTTACAAATCTCAAGGGCCTTTCATGTCTGGGGAAGCTCATAAAACCTAAGATGAAAACTCCTCAAATATCTGCTTGGATATTTTATTTTTTTTAGCACCTTTGAAGCAACAAAGAATTTCAATACCAGCTTAATAAAAGCAAATTACTTGAGTAATTTTTATACTTTTTAGGATAAAGTCTATCTTACATGTGTATTACTTTGTCTGTAAACTGAGAACATTTTACCAGTTAACCAGCCTTAAGAGGACATCAAAGGACTTGGAATAGATAAAGCAATTCCCCCTCCCCCATTTACTATTAATTATTTTGGCTCTAACATTACATAATGAAAAGTTAACAGAATGTAATCCACTAGAGATTACTCCAAGATAGCAGTTATGGAATTATTTCTATACTGTAAAAGAGATACATAGTTTGGGATTGCCTCAGGCCCTGGCAATCGAACATAAAGCTATAAATTTAAGGATTGCTTCTCTTGCTGAAAAAGCAATTTTCTTCCCTGTCCTTTACACATTGAGTCTCAAAAGTAATCTGAGCATGCATTTCCTTTTGAAAATGTATTAGTAGCATACTTCATAATCCAGTACAGTATGTTCCTTTAGTTATCCAAGGCTAAATTTTCAGCATGTGTCTCTCATTTGGTAAATGAAAAATTGTTTGGAAAGCAGGAAACTAAAATATGAAAAAACAAGTGTGCCCTACGACAGACTATTTCAGTCTGAAGTGCTCCTGCTTAGAGCTCTAGCCAGTAAGGCCTATTTTCAGTTAAATCAGACAAATTACAGCTGGAAAAAGTAGAGATGGAGAATTTCCTTGCATTGCCAAAACAGCTAATTTCAATCCATTGGCTTCCATTGGCAAGTCTTTAAGAGGCTACCTACACTTAAGTTTTTAAGTCTAAAATGTCTGACATTTTTAAAAACAGCTCTTACTGACGGCATTGGGAGTTACCATAGCTCAATGAACCCACATCACAATAAATTATGAAGTTAGAATCAAATGTGACATTATGTAATTCATCAAAAAAACATTTTAATTGTGCATTATGGTTGCTAGAATGGAAACAGAAGCAGAAATAAAAGTGCACTGAAATCAAAGAAGGAAATGCCAGCTTTTTAGGACCCAGAGATTCCCATCTATTACATGGTGTCCAAACACAATGCCTTCTAAGTTTTCTGATTTTCCAGGAACAGTCCTGGAATTACAAAAGCTATCCCAGCTTCTGATTTGATCCCAGACTATCTCTATTTCCCTTGCCAGTGCTGTCGCACGGTGGAAGCTGCAGCGGTTGTGGCTACAAGGGAGCAGCCCATTGCCTCTCCATGGCCACTGCTGCTGGCCTCCTTCCTTGGCAGCAGTGGCCCATACTGGCTACTGGAGAACGGACAAGGAGCAGGAGAGGCTGCCATAAGAAGCTGATGCAACACAAGGTGGCGTCTTATGTTGCACCTTTCTGCATCTTTTCCATGGTGATACTGCACACAGTATTTCAGGAAACTCTGATATTCCAGATGTTGGACCCCCATTCTCATCAGTTCCAACCAGCACAACCATTGGTCAGGGATTATGGGAGTTGTGATCCAACAACACTGGGGGGTAGCATATCCTCCATCCTATTTTCACTTCCTTCCCTAATAATCATCAGCATACACCTTCCTTCATTAGATGCTAAACATTGGCTCAAATATTTCATTGAGCCATCCACCACAATCATAGTATATCTTCCTGGTCAATCACTTCCACCAACATCTGCAGTCCAACAGCACCTGGAAGGCCACAGGTTACTTACCCATGTCTTATAGCAGGATTTCCTTTTTGCTGGAAAGTTATCCATACCTTATTCTATATCAATGTTTCACTTTACAAAGTGATCAAGCAAACATAAGAACATCAATCATATTACTATGCCAATTTATTGTAGCATTCCTTTCTAAAAGGCACCCTCCTTTCCAAGTTTGTTTAAATGTATTTTAGATCACTTAAAATCTTGATGGGATTTGACATGAACAATTTTCTTCATTAAAATTCTAGGACACTCCCTTTACTCTTCATTTTGAAAAGAAACAGAGCTCGGTGAATAACTAGGTTTCCTCAGATAAGAATGAGGCAACATCAATTTCCACTTAAAAAGGGGGAAGTGCATACAACTGGGGGGGGGGGGAGATGCCTCATTATGTCATTTAAACAGTATGGAAGCTACAGCAATTTCCTGCATCACTCTGGAAGAGTGCCTGATACAATTCCTTCTCGTGCCATAGGATAGCTGGCCACAGCTCTGACATCACAAAGGTGGCATCAGAAATGGCTCTTAGGCATTTTAAAGAGCTTTATTTATGAGGTTAGAATGGTTTGCTTACATTGCTTATACTAGTAAATTTTTGTTTGCCCTGTGACTTATTTAGAATAGTTTGAAATTACATTAAAACATCCATTCAAGATTTAAACACCAATAATTATAAGCAACAACCTCACAAAATCCAGGCGCAGTATGCTGAGATGTACTTGACTATTAATAACCCAACCTAATATAATGTGTGTTCAAAACTGTTGGACCACAGGATCAATTCCACCCGCTGACAGATGCCATCTGGACCCCCTGCCTCCAGCCCTCTTTCCCCCCTCCCTCCCCCCTGTTTTTATAACAGCTCAGAGGCAGGGATGAGAGTGAGAGAACAAACCTTACTGTCATACCTCAACCTCATTAGCATTCCCATGCCTTCACCAGCAGAAAGATACAAAGGAAGGTAGACAGACTGCACAATGCTAATGACATAAAGCTACATGCTGCAATCTCAATTGCAGTTCTTACTCTTCTCCCTGGAGGGAAGATGTGAAACAAGAAAAAAGAAATCCTTCTTTCACTGATCTACAGTCATTGTCAGCTAGCCAGCATCTTATTGGTCAAGTACAGCTATGTCCTATGAGGCACCAAATACTGGTGCCCAAAAAAGTAGCATTTCCTAACTTGTGCTTGGCTCTGCTCCTGAGTCATTGGATTATTTTCCTTACTCTGAGATCAAATATTTGGAATCAAAAGGTCCTTGCAACTTTTGATTAATTTGGCCTCAACATTCACACTTCTGGCTGTGCCATTTTCCTATCAAAATGTTTCTACCAAAGTTTTCATTATTATCACAAGCGATCACATACCACTGTATTTCTTGTCCCCCTTCTACTACAATCTGAGATCAATTCATTTTGGACAGCTGCTGTGAGCAGAACTGAGAAATGATGCCATCGTAGAAGAAATTATAGGTTAACAGGCGCAAAAATTAATTTTGAATGACTTTTTCAACTCATATAGACTATAATCATGTTTTAAAAAATAGCTCATTCTCCACTGTGGTACTGTATATAACTTAACTGGAACAATTTAATTTTTAAAGTTTAAATTGTGCCATGTAAAATGTTGACATAGAAAAATCATTGCTTTCTTTAACGCAAATAACTTTTGATGGCTGTCTGGGAGAACTTCAGCTCTATGCTCTTCTGTGACTATCATTTTAAGATTCTGTACGATTTAGAAGAAATTGGTCAAATTTTTAATCAATTTATGGAGATAGATACCCACAATTTCAAAGCAATGCTTTTTCGGAACAATGTAAATATTTTATTTTATAAAAATATATACCGCCATTTCATAAAATATATCAAAGCCATTTGCAACAAAATTACGTAAAACCATAAAATTAAAACCATATAAAAAAGACTGAAACCAGACATCCATTAACCATTGTGGAAAGATGTATTCTTAGTTGGCTGCATAGGCCTGGCAGAATAGAAAAGTTTTCAGCTAGTATTTAATGGCTGAAGCAGAAGGCAGAAATATAAGAGTAAGAAAAGGCAAAAGCAAAGAGCAAATCCAACTTTAGATATAAAAGAAAACATAGTGATCAATCAAGGTAGTCAATCTTGTGGACATGCACCTGATTTCCTTCTTACTGTCTT